AAGTGAAGGTACCAGTGCTTTACATATCCACAGAGAATCTTTAGTGCCTCCTAATAAACAGCACTTTGAAAACCATGCTGAAATGTAAAACAGTATTTAACAAGCTTGAGGGCAATTATATGAACCAACATACATATAATACTGCTATATAACTTGCAGCTGATTAACATTTCAGGTCACTCACACTGGATTTAATATGCTTAGTAAGCACAATGAATATGACTAAAAATATCCCAAGTGTCTGATCACCAAGGTACCTAAAAATCTGAAAATGCCCAGAAACTTGATCTCCCAGAGCTCAGGGTCTCGTCCCCTAAAAAAAAATGGGAATTTTCAGTCCTAGCAAAAAGAAACACACACAGCTAGCTGAATTTGATTTGATACAGCTAGCAGAATTTAACTTTACTCACATAAATTACTGCAGCATGCATAAACCTATCTAGTAAGAGCAATCTATAAGCTTTTGTGCATAGTCTGCCTTTCTAAATCTGATCTTATGCATAGTCAGAAGTGATGTACAAGAATAAAAAAGTCTGTAGTTGGCACTTGGAGACTAAATGTATAGCTGCTGCCCAAGCATAATACACACATTAAATGAATGTGTAGCACAGTCAAATGCTTAAAGCATAGAAGTTACACCCCGCCCCCCACCAGAGTACAAATACCAACTGGATAGGAAAGATCATTCTAAGCAGCACTCTAAATGCATTTTAGTACAGTACACAAGTATCTCAGGACAGAGCGTTGTATTTTTAATTAAGCATTCGTGCATCTTATGCATGAGTTTACCTATAGCTTTATTCAATTCAAATACATTAATTCTTTGATTTTTCATAAATAAAATAATCACAACTTTTATTTTTATCTCTAATACATGGTAAAATGTACTGTACCACTACTGTTACACCAGCTCTCTTGCATATGAAATCCTACTGAAAACTTAATATTCCATCAAGCTTAATCACACAAAAACAGTAGTGTACACTAACCCCCACAGTGTTAGTAATGCAATACAATAACAGATGTTATTAATTCTTGATAGCATTCATTTACACTGCATTTCTAGATGGGAAATTATGAACAAAAACTTAGTTCTGAAGAAAAATATATTGGAAAAGGAGCTGTTTTCTCCCATTATTATACTAACAATCTATAAGCATCTAGCTGACATTTATCAGAAAGCCTCCAGATAGTAAGTCCTGGTCCTACAGTCCTTACTTGAGACAAAGCTCAGACGAAAAGGGATCTAGGTGACATAAAGAGAGTTGCAGGTGGGAAAGCTTTTTTTTTTTTAAATACAGAAGCAATCTGCATAAAAAGAAGACCTATGCATTAACACCAAATTTAAAAAAAAAGAACAGCAGTTCCACTGATTGTTCTAATAATTAGCCAGAAGCCAGGGAGTTCGTGAAATAAATGAGAAAGGTAAACATGTACTATTGTAATTCATGATACCTACCATGTGAATGGTATCTACAGTGACCTGATTCACATGATCAAAACAAACCACTATGGCTTGTTTGAATGTACGAACTGTCCCTATATATATATATATGATACATGTGAACTATAATTTAAAATAAAGTAACTCCTAATAATTCCTAGTGTGCCTACTATAATGTCACAAAACTGGCAGTAATAAAACAATGGCTGTTGTAATTATGGTCCTCCCCCCCCCAATTGTACTATTATAGACCTTATTTGCAACCAAATTAAAGCTGCAAAGATGAAGCATGTACAGTTGTTCTGGACTTTGTGTTTTGTCTTTTTTTCTGCAGTAGGAGATCCTTTTGCAGCTGGTGAGTGCTATGGAAATAACAGCTACATGTTATTTAAATGGTTTTATAAAGCAAATGAGAAAGAATATCTTGCTGATTATGAAATCCAAGTCGCCCTATATTAAAAATAAGCAGACACCAATAAGCCATAATGTCATCAAGCTTCTAAGTAGTATATCATATTCTATCTTTTGTGCTGCGGAGAAGGTTAAAATGGTTCTGACTAGAATCACCAATTACATTATGCACATCTGTATAAATATAGCTACTCATTAATATGCACGCACGCATGCACACACACACGTGAATTTATAAATAGATACAACACACATATTTGGCTGAGTATCAAACCCAAGATACTCACACGTGATGGTAAATATTCTATTCCACACATTTCAGATACACAGAGCTAAAGAATCACAGGAACCCAGCTGCAAAAAAATGTACACCTGTAGTTTTACAAATCTTATATGTAAGGAAATAACTGATTGACCAAGCATGAATACTATTTTCTGCCTCAATAATATTATTTCTTTTTAAAGAAATATCATGTTAAGTCCTTTATCTTTAGTGCATCTATCAGTTGTTCACATATGAAATTGTAATAAAAAGGAATGAAAACATTACTAATTATCAATGTTCATTATGAATATCACTACCAAATAATGAAGTGTTATAAAAGAAAATAAGCTTGCCAGAATACACTTTACATATCATATCCATTATATTATGGTACTGGACAGATATCTACTAGTACAAACAGGATATGAACCAGTTAAGTGTAAACTATGTTTTCAAGGGTCAGTGTGAAGACACAATTATTTTGCTCTCATTCCAGTAAAAATTAAATATTTGTAACAATGCCTGCCATATAGCACCCAAAAGTATCATGTACTTACAAGCCAGCTTGCAATGCCTTTTCTACCCATTAAAGCCATGTGTTTAAAGAGTCTATTGTTTAAAACAAAGGCGACAAAGCAAATCTTTTAACATTAATTATGAGAGAGTATACATAGAGATCTTCATTACCTAATGGTTTCTACTAACCCATTATCCCCAAAAATTCAAAAAGAAAAAGATTCTCATTGAATTCTTACTTCCCCAAAGACAAGAAAAAACAAAAACAAGAAAAATTAAAACATTACAGTCACAGACAAATATACTTTCAGTCTGCCCAAGGTTCAAATTATTTGTTCCCTTTAGCCCATCACTCACTACTGCAGTCACTCTCTACTCAAACACATCATCATTTTAAAAGGTCTTTACTCCAAAATCAAGCTTTTTGAAGTCTTCAAAGGATGTGTATGGCAACTTATTTACCCTGTTCCCTGTTCTTAAGAGCATATTTAACAAGTCAGCAATTTGTAATAACACTGCCTTATTAAGAATGGAAAAGGTACCCAGGAAAACTAAAAGATTGTTACTCCTTTTTCAACATTCACTTCACTACAAATCAAAGCATAAACTCATATTTCATTCATTGTATCAACAAAGCTGAGTGAAGCATGATGTCTGTTTCTGATCTAAGAAATCCAAATGCAAACAGATTTTTAAATATTAGATAAAGTTTTCTGGATTTATAAAAATAACTTAAAACAAACAGTGATAATGCTAAGCAATGTTACTTTTCTAATGCAAAATGCTACATATTAAAATATGTCAGAGATTTAAAAAATAGTAACAAGTATACAAATAAAGCCAAAACAACTAAAATATCTGATACTAAGTAAGTAAAACACAATTCTGTGCAAGTTGAAAATGAAATTTGGCTTCAATCACTCAAATGCCCATCTTATAAAAGAAGCATACATTTATTTTCTCACGGTGTTGTACTACAGAGCTTCAGTTATTTAAATCTTAATTATTAAAATATTTCTATGCCATCATAACAAATGACACCTTCAAAATTGATTGCATACATGAAAAATAAGTGAAGACACAATGATCACCTAAAACTTTCTTTTTTTAAAAAAATGACTTTTTAATACAACAGTCACTGGTTTGCAGAATCTCTCTTAACCACATCTATCTAAAGACGACTCTCAATTATTTCAGCTCCCTTCTAAGAATGTGTAATCTTGCATCTGTGAGCAAAAGTGCTCAGTTATTATTTGTGGCAAGAATTTTTGTGACTGTACTGCTCAGCAATTCTATTTACATCAGCAATGCTAAATGCCCAATGGTGAGAGAGGAGCCAATCAGATGGCAGATTAGATGTCAACTCAGAGGCAGCTGTCTGGAGACTATTACAGCCAGTTTACCTCCACAATTCAAATTCCAAACCTTGCAAAAGAGATCAAGTCACTCTTTAGGCTCAGACTGCTGAGCAAGAAACATCAAGAGTGCTAAGTTATTTCTTATGATTTTAAAGATGGCAAAAGGGATATTTATATAAATATTTTCCATTCACAATCACCATAAACTATTAATCTGGTAATTCATCGGATATAACTGAACAGAAATTAAGCACTGACTTCAGAAATACTGACAATCGATCACTTACCATACCCAGGCCTTTTTGCTTAGTAAAAAAAATCTCTCACTTGATGAAGCAAGAGTGCATTAAAAGGGTAGAAGACACAACTGATTTCTAATTGTAACATTCGTCATCGCCTTAAATTGTTTTTTACTGGTTTGGAAAACTAGAGGCACATGCAAAGAGCAAGATACCTGAACAACTAGGATGAAAGACAGGTTTTATTACTATGGTACATACCTATAAGATACTTAAACTCTTTCTGCTGGGTTTCGGTAAACAATTGCATTCAAGCAACACAATAATAACCTAAAAGGCCTCTTTCCTCATTAGAAGAAATAAATCATGGCATGAAAAGGAAGACAGTGTTATAACCAGCAGTGCCTGCAAAATGACACTGGTTCCTCCCTTTCCCACTCCAAAGTGGTTTTCCTCCGGGCCTTGTGTGTTCAGATTTCTAATAAGTCTAGAGTAGGAGTACTGGGTGGGGTAGAGTGGGTCTCGTGTATTGTTCAACTGTATCACAAAATGGTCCAGTTTTCAGCAGAAAAGTCATTCCCGCTGATTATCTCTCAAACCTAATTAGAGTCAGACATTGTGGCTTATCCAACCCTGTTAGAGAGGCAGCAAGGAGTTGAGATGGAGTAGAAGAAAAGTAAATCAGAAAGAAAGTAAGGCTTGCATAGGACACAGACACACATAAGTGAAACAACACACTGCTTGCTCTTTTGGATTGTTATTGTTACCTGGCTCCTGCTGATAGTCTGTCCAGTGTTTCCAGGGCTCATCGCTGGATGATTTCTTTGTTGTGCAGCTGCCCAGGCTGGGTTTGCAGCTCCATACTGGGAACCCATGTCCTTGCCCATGACCATGCCTGCTGCTGCCTGCTGACTTCCTGGGGCGGCTGCTGCTGCTACTCCCTGAGCTGGCTGTTGCGATGGGGCAGCGCTGGGGTTGGTATAATCAGGATAGCCAGTGCCATAGCTCCTCATCATGGGGCTGGGGGAAGTGAGCAGCTGGTTCAAGGTTGGGGTGGCCCCAGACGGGTGTTGGTTTTGCCCGGAGAACCTTTGGAAGCCCGCAGCCCCAGATGCCTTGCCAAGGCTGCCCCCTCCACCGGAGCCCAGCATCATGCCCTGCTGGTGCTGTCTAGAGGAGCTCAGCACCCCGAAGGCAGAAGACGAACCCCCATAGCCGCCGCCGCCTGCTGCGGCTGCAGCCGCCACAGCTCCTGCTCCTCCCGTGCTGCTGCCGCCGCCAGGTCGGCCGTAAGCGCCCGAGTAGTGGTTGTACTGGCTGTTGGCGTAGCCTTCGTGCGAGTTGGGTAGGGGGTCCATGCTGTTGGGGGCCGCCGCGGGGTGCATTAGCCCCATCCCGGGGCTTTGTTGTCCGCCATGTTGATCAAAGCAAGGCCCGGCCCGGCTCGCTGAGGAGGCGCCTCCGCCGCTGCTGCCAGCGTTGCCGTAATAGCTATTAAACTCCGAGACACCCACCGCTGAGGGGCCGCCGCCGCCGCCACCTCCTCCTCCAGTGCCGCCGCCGCTGCCCGCTCCCTGAGGTGGCGGCGGCGGCGGCGGCTGTTGCCCGCCCAAAGGTCCCAAGCTGGGGTGGTCGTAGCGACTGCTGAGGTGCTGCTCTCCCATTTTGTCCGCCGCCGGCGGCGTCGCTTCTTCCTCGTCCCCGCCTTTATTCAGCAGGGGCTGAGGCTGCGGCTGGCTCTGGGGCTCGGCCTGTCCCCCCAAGCCACTGTCTTTTCCTCCATGTTGTTGCTGCTGCTCCATGTCTGCGCTGCTGGGCTGAGCAGCGCCGCCACCGCCGTTGTTGCTGCCGCCGCCGCCGCCGCCGCCGTTGTTATTCTGCATCGGATGGTGTTGAGGCGGCGGCTGTTGCTGGAATTGATTTAGCTGTTGGTGTTGTTGAAGTGCATGGTGGTGGTGGTGGTGGTGGTGATGAACATGGGGGTGCTGGGCATGGAGGTGAGCCGGGTGTTGGTGATGGTGCTGGGCATGGGGGTGGTGGGAAGGTGCGGTGGTAGGGTGATCGCCTCCAACGCTTTTCAACTTGTGGTTAGGGAGCAGCTCTGTCTCCATAGTCGGGGTAGATGAGGAGGAGGAAGAAGATAAGCCCGACGAGCTTCCAGGTTCTTTCAGAACCGATTCCGAGGAAGATCCGCTGCCGGTGGTGGTAGCGTTGTTATTACCGGTGGCGGCGGCAGCAGAAGTTGCATTATTGGCCATGTTCAGTTCATTATGGTGGTGGAGGGGATGGTGATCTACATTATTTAAGCTGCTGCTGCTGTTAGTCCCATCTACGACCCCCAAGAGAGAGCCCGATCCAGCGGCTCCTATAGTGCCTGCAACGGGACCCCCGGAGTTGAGATCTTGGTTTAAGTTGCCCGGCAAACTCGGGGTTTTGCCCTTGTTCTTGTTTGCACCCGCCGGAGCCGCTGCTACTTGCGCGGCCATGATCATTGCAACATTGCAAGGGGGGGAGAAATCAATTAAGTCCCCCCCAGCTTAGAAAAATGGGCAAAACAATAATGGGTGTGGGGAGAGAAGAGAGGAGCAAAAATCCCCCCACAATACAAGAAAGTAGATGGATGTGATTAAACAAAAACCCTGCTGATCATTCCATACGCGCGCGCATACAACACGATTAAAAAAATGACCGAAACTCCCCTCCCCAAGTCCTTGATGGAGATTAGAAATTGTAAGAATGCCTTACGGTCTGTGCCTGTTCCTGCTGTGTGATTTCATGTTGAAAGTTTTTTTGTTCAGGTTTAAATGAAACTTTTTTCTTTTCCTCTCTAACCCGGATATGGGTAAATACACGTCTGGCTGAGACTATCTGGCCCAGCATGGCATGAGAGAGCGAGCGAGCAAGCAAGCTCTAACAACTATTATCCACTTCTCTCTGATTACTCCGGTGCACATGGAAAACGCGGACTGGAGTTTCCTTCTGCCTTCTTCCGCGGGTCTAGTAGCAATGCTACAGGCAAGAGAAGAGGCGCACGCTTCACAGTCTCTCTTCAGCAGCCGCGACAGAAGGCAGCTGGCACAGCTTTGCAAACGGGGGGACGGATGCTGCCTCCTCCTTTTTTTAGTTTTTATTCCACTCTTGCGAAAGAGGGGAGAAGAGTATTAAATCAAAGGAAGCCCTTTGTGGAAGGGTTTATGACGTCCAAGGAGGACTCATTATTTGTGTTTAAACAATTGGTATTAGTTTCCCCTCCCAACCCATCTCACAACAAAAAGCATCAATAAGCTAAATTAACTGTGATGTACTTCAGCATATTTTAATGATCTGAATGAAAGTAAGAACTATCTCCATAAATAAGTTTGCCTATGATCGATCTTAATAAAATAATATACTTAAGTCCACATCCACACATAGGATAGGAAAAATGTACAATATGAAGACAACTTCGTATGTATTACAGTATATAACAACTTTCAGTGGGAATGTGCATTCTTAATTTGCATTACATCAAAAGACCCCCCTCACCTGTTTTTATATGTGAGGCTCCCTTGCGGGATCAAGGCAAGTAAATGTAACATAAACTAATTTCAGCAATCTCTAACTGTAAATAGAGACTAAAATTGGGGGAAAGGGATTATTTATTTTATTGAAGATTTAAATATGAATTCACTGTTATATGTCTTCAACTTTCATCAGGGCTGATAGCATTGTTAAAAATATTCCGAGTACATCTTGGATTGCATTTAAAATCACAATTTACTCTTCATCATTTTTAAAAAGAAACATTCCATAGCAGGTAACTTCCAATAGGTATGTTCAATGTTGTTACTTAAGGCTGCAGTCCTATAGCCATTCACTTTGGAATACACCCATTGAATTCAGTGGGATTTATGTCTGAGTAGATGTGCACAGGATTGTGCTTTAAGGCTTCAGGGTGTACACTTGGGGAAAATTCCACTAAAGTTGTTGTGCTTTCCATCTGAAGAATGAGCTGTAAAATGATTCTCCAATTGAGAGTTCAGTTTACCAAGCAGGACTTCCACACTTCAGTGACATAAATGGAATTTGTAAAGAAGCAGTGTCAGGAGAATTGCACTATTTGTAAAGGAAAATGACCAAACTATCAAATGCTATCTGTACTAACCTGTTTAAAATGTCCTTTAATCCATTAATTAATTGATACATTGATTTAAGAGTCAGGTAACTGATATGCTGAAAATCATTGGCTGAATGACATATTTTGAAAATACATTAGTTTGGATATCTCACTCGTTCAAATATACAGAGATGCTACTTTTGCCACCCAAGTTATCAGTATGGTCTAATTATTTTAAATAGGATATGAAGATTTATTTCATAGCAGCTGCTACTGTTTGGTAATAATTACTCCTATTTTCCCTTGTGTAAATGTTTGCACCTTTGTGTGCCTGTACGTGCATGCACATGTTTGTGTGTGTGTGTGTTTGTGTGAAAAGAGAGAGAGAAATCAAAAAAGATGCAAGGGAAAAAAGCACAATTTTAAGTATACATTTTCCAAAATGAATTGATCATATGCACATTAATTTTTACCATGATATAATTCCTTTTTTCAGGTATTAGGATTTTTTTCTTCTATCAGTAAGTCTGTAGTATACAGTACTACGCTGTATACCATTTTGCTGATTATATCATTTTCGAAGGCCTGATTTGCTATATTTGTGGCCAGCAGCCTATGGCAGCAACATTTCTGCAGTTGCTACAGTGTCCAGCTGTCTCAAAGTCCTAATAATCATTTGCATTAATGATGCTTTTAATACAGTTATTACATATGGGGCTGTTTTCAACATGTTCTATTAATTTGTATGCAGAGCAAGGATTTTCTGAAGAGAGTAAAACATTTTCAGCACTATCGTTTATGTCCCTAAACAATGAAATTACATCTGCTGTATTTAAAGCATTGTAGATGATCCAAAGAATGATTACTTCCACTTTTGTTAAATTATTAGTCATAGAAATGACTTGCGTTTATATAATAGCATGCTGCCACTATTGGCATTAACAAATTAAGATCTATTTTAATACAATTAATATACACGGTACAGAGATACCCATAAAACACCATATCCTAATCCACCAACTAGGCCATTGAGAGGCATGCCATTAACTTAAAAGCTAAGAACAGATCGTGTAATCTTTTAAATAAAAATAGTCTATTAAATTATGATTTTGCAACTATCATAAACACATTTGATTGTGATCAAAACAATAGGTATCTTGTTATGTATGAAATACACAATATCCTAAATGATCATACAGCAAAGCAGGATTGCCCTGACAGTGTTGCTACTTCCCCCTCCTCCGCTCCTGAATTCAGTCTGAAGTCTATGACTCAGATAAAATTGATTAAAATTCAACTATAAATGTAGCTGTAAGCCTGTAGATACTTACCTGTGAGTTAATGCTATTCGTTCAGTGGGACTTACTTCTGACATGCAGAGAATGACATAGCAAGTCTAACTGAAATAACTGGAATTGATGATTTTGACTAAATTCAATTCTCTCTTCAATGGGGCATTACTGGTGACTCTCTTTTTCTGAGTCTTGAGCTTAATTTTCAGATGTCCCTGTTTAACTACATGTTTATAATCCTTATATTTGAATTACTTTTTTTCTATTTTGCAAACACCAAAACTGTTACATAGTTAGAAATTGATAGAGTGGGAAAATTGGTAAGTAATTCTAGCTGGAAATTCAGGTGCATACCCAAGGGTCATTATAATCTGTAACTACAACAAATTGCAATTCTATGCAAACTTAGTGTATATACATCATCTTTGTAGAGGAAAGAATAACAGAACTGTAAGATGAATGCATGCCAAGTCATCCATCAGCTTTTGCCAAGAGAATACTACATCTTTGTTATTGAGCTTTTTGACATTTTTTCCTAGATTTTCTTATTTTCTATATTCAAACATTCACTAATTATACACATTAAACCTCATAAGTTGAGTTTTGAACTCTTTTCATATGCAAACAGAGAGATATCTCCATGTATGTATTATATACATGTAGGTTCTAAAATAAACTATAAACTAAATCACACATTTATTCTTTCAGATATTTACACTTAAACTGAAATGTGTAATTTCAAAATCCTGATAGGGCATAACTCACAGTAGGATTACAATATTTTCTCATTCACCTTGCACCTAGTTTTATGTAAGATTAGCAAATGCTGGTTACTTATACAATTTTAGCACGCATAATGTAACAGATCATTTTAGGAGACATTTGTAATAAAATGGTATTGTTTCAGTTATCTCAAGATCCAACAGAAGATCCAAAACTTCATAATATGACTTCACAATTAAATTAGCCTGCTATAAAAGATAACGTGCCAGTATTCCTCCCCAAGAGCAGATGCCACACCCTCAAGCAGACAGAAGGCATTGCAGTCTGTGCAGGGAACACATCACGCAAAGCAAATATAACTCATTTTTGTTTCACACAGCTTAGGTTATGAACAATAGCTGAATTTAAAACTTTTCGTTTGTGCACCTTTGACTAAGATATCACAATTTGATATTGCCATGCACAGTCCATATCTATGTGCAAGTTATTCCACTCAAACTTACCACTTAGAGTTTTGTGTTGGGTATTTATCTTACTTTGTTCAGGTTCTCTGACTTTGTATAGCGTTTTCCCTAGCATTATTGATATTAATTTGACATTTAACTGGACATACAATTGTTCTCCTCAATTGTCTTCATGGCACTTTTTCAGATGTTTTAAATATAGCAGGATTTAATCAATTAATCATTGTGATAATTCAATTCAGTTTTTAAGTGTGTTTAAAGTAAAATAGTAGTTGGAATTATTTACAAAAAGATAATGTTTGACACAGATTTTGTGTAAAGAAAACACTATGTAGCCAAGTTGGAGCCATGCATTATTGAAAAGTTGTAAATCTTCACCACTAAATCCAGTAATACCACAGTTGTAAAATGGATACACTATATACATGCTATGCGTTTCATCATAACTGAAGAAAAAGAGCTGATTAGGAAAATAAACTTGTTCTGCCAGCTCCTGTTGTGACATCAGCCATGTTAAGCTCTAGAGTCTTTCAGCATCGCATGATTCACAAATGTGATTATAATTAAGAGGGTTTTATTTTTCCCTCAAACAATGAATGCCAGATTTTTCAAAACTTTAAAGTGTCCATATTTAAAAGAAAGTGTAATCTTCATTATTGATCTTTTAAATGAGGTGTCAGGTTATGTGTAAATATATGTATATTTAATTTGTTAATTGCTGAATAGTTAAAAGTCAGACATTAATTAAAATGGCTTTAAAGAAGTGACAATATGCCTCATTTTTGTAATCTATCTCATATTCTATACTTCTCTTTCATCCTAAATCAACTTTAGGATAACTTTTCGGAAAGCATAAATTTCTGTTTAAGCTGCACTTTGTATTTGCAGAAACGGAGATCAGCCATTGCTTCTCTATCTCAAAGTGCATTGCTAAGTGTAATTTGCAACACCTACTGTTGTGCAAATCTGCATTGTGAGACTGTGCTCATCTAAACTTCAAATCTCATACTGACAACACCTGGCCAGATTTTGGAACTTGGTTGTTTCCTTGGTTGTACCACCTGCCTAATGAAAAGTTGTTGTTTTATGGGACTTCGGGATTTTAGTAGTTCCTAAAAAATGGTTTTGACCAGGTACAGTTCTTTTTTCTATTAGACTTTCCTATCTTTAATTAGTTAATTAAATTTCCTTGTTAAAATTTATCAGATCTATTTCCAGTGCCATGAAACAAACTCAAGAGTATTTGAATATACCTTCATGTGCATCAGTTCATACTTACTGAAATGCATCTGCTATTTTGTTGCAACTTATTCCCACATTAGAGATAGCCTTATAG